CAAACATATAATTACTGCTCTGTGCAATGGTCTTGAATTACCTCTTCTGGGGTCACCCGTCAGCTCTCCCTCTCCTTCCTGAGTGCCCTATAGCAAGTCGACTTCCAAAGCTGGAATGTGTGCATCTATCGACACACAGAGTGTGGATCAGCCTGCCCCCAGCTCCCTCCTCAGCGGATTTGATTGGCAGCAGCATAAGCCAATGGTGCCCACTGCTGCCTCTGTGTCCAGCGAGGAGAGAGAGTACAGCGCTACTGTTCTTGGGCATAGAGCTGGATTTAGACCAGGCTCAGGTAAATATTTATGGGAGAATCCATTAAGGTAAAAAAAAATTCTGCCTTCTACTAATAAAATGTAAGTGGTATTAAGCCCAAAAGCAAACATTTTATATATTGCAGCTTACCAATTCTTAGATGTGATGGATGCATTCATTTTCTTTTTTAGCTTTTTTTTCTTCTATTTTCATCTGCTAGTGTGGCCAGTAAGTTTTCTGTTTTCCAAAAGAACAAGCTCCCCAGCAGAATGAATCACTTATAGAGATGAGGAAAATAATTTAACACTGGCAGGGGTGCTTACACTGATCAGCTTTTATTTATGTAAACCTTTATGCCAAAAGGACAAACAAATGTTTGCTGTAATTGCTGATAAAGTATGAGCTGGAATTTGGCTTTAATTTCTTAGTGTATGCTAGTACATCTAATACCCCCCCTCCTTCCTAGGCTGAAAATGCTGCTGTCCAAAGGTGCCCCTTGTGCTCCTTCATCCAGAGTGGGGGCACTCCAATACAGGAAGTGTGTTACTGGTCAGCTTATCAGGAGAGAAAATAGAGAGGAAAAAGCTCAAAAAAGAAAAGTAATGCGTGTCTCACATTTTTAATGATTGGTAAGCTGCAAACAATTTTGGTTTAATACCTTTTTAACATCTAACAAGGGCGGCTATGTTTTTCCTCCTTAGATACAATGGAAGATTGAGCGTATCCACCTTAAGACAGGAAGTGTTTTACTAGGTGAAAATAACGTTTCTAAGAAAAAAAAAACTACAAAAAGGTAATGGATGCAGCCACTGCATTTGAGGATCTAAGCATTAGTTAGCTGTGATATATTAAATTCCAGTGTTTGGGTTTAGATACACTTTAAGGAGTATGGGTGCTGCTTTGTGATATATGATTTGTGATTTTATAATGTATATACTGGAGGCTGGGTCTTCCAGCTGGGGGGTAATCTGAGTGAAAGTCAATTGTCTTCTCTGCAGGTTCTGGAATTCTGAAACCAAACTGCAATACACCTACACAAACATTTTGTTTAATGCACAAGGCATGCGCAAAAAAAGAAATTACAGATTTGGCAGAGATGAGGACTTATCATCCAAACAGGGCTGCCATCTTACTATTAGGATGGTAACCCTGTTTTGAATACAAATTTAGGACCCAGCACAAGAAGGCCATTTTGCTACTCACTGCAGCACCTTGCTGCTCCTAGAAGGGTTAAGTGCTCATAGGGCCCAGCAACTGAAAATTCCCATCTAACAGCAGAAGCTATGTTTTCCTTCTGCTTTTATTAATCACTCATGCCCACATCATATCTTCACATTTTGCACTCTATAAAGAGTAGCAGCCATTTAACCATCCATCACTGTCCAGGCTCATATCGGTGGCGCAGCTATCAAGCAAAATGAATTACTCTTATCTGCTGCTGGTAACACTTTTGATTTAAATTCTTTATTTTGACAGAACCTAGCAACTCAAGAAGTAACAGCAAAGTGGATGGGTGCCTTACGGAAAATTAACTAGATTAAGCAGATTTATGGGACAAACACATTTTTATGATATATCTTGACATTTTTGAAGGTTGCTGCTTACCTATTGACAGGGAAAGCAGAACATGTACTTACCTGAAACAAGGCTCGAAAAGTGCACATTGCAATGCAGTCAGAGTGTGGTAAAGACTTGACATTTATCATCAGGAAGCCTTGAATCCTGGGATATATTGCCATCGAAACTCATTTGAAGACTCCTTGCTGGATTTCAGTTCTTACCCACAGGGAGTCTTTCACTACATGCTGACAGCTTAATTCTCGAGGGACGTTTGAGTCAAACCGGGTCTTTAAATTTTACAGGTATGAAAAGGGATGATGGCGTGGCAGTACTACATGCAGTAGTAAGTGGCAAGTGTGTCCTATTAGTGATAGGCAGAGCACATGTTGCGGGCCAGTCTAGAGACTGTTAACCACTTCAAGTCCGGACACTTTCACCCCCTTCCAGTCCAGGCCAATGTTCAGCTTTTAGTGCTATCACACTTTGAATGACAATTGCACGGTCATGCAACACTTTACCCATATGAATTTTTTAGCATTTTTTGAGACAGATAAAACTTTATTTTGGTGGTATTTATTCACCACTGGGAATTTTTATTTTTTTTGCTATGTAAATGAAAAAGTCCAAAAATTTGGGAAAAAAAGTGTCTTTCTTATAAAATTTTGCAAATAAATCAGAGAGGTTTGGACAGCTTTTTTCTCTTAACCGCTTGCCGACTGCCCTATAACAGAACTATTGCTACAGGGTGGCAGGGTTGCACAAAATCATATATACATGATTTAGCATTTCTGGTTAGGGGACACACGCAGGCCGTCCTTCCCACGTCACCATTGGCGGCTACAGCTGTCGATTACCAGCTCCCTGCTGGCACCCGGCGATTGCTGAGGAACAGTGAAAGGGGAGAGGTCTGTGTGTAAACAACACAGATCTCTCCCGTCAGCACAAACAGTCTGCTTTGTATTGCTCTGCACAGCAGAGCAATACAAAGCAGCTTGTTTTTGTAGTAAAACACACACACAACACACTTGGTAAAACAGCATAACCCTTTGATCGCCCCAGATGTTAACCCCTTCCTGCCCAGTATCATAGCTTTTTATTAGCACTGATAACTATTAGTGTCACTGGGGATGTCAGTGGCAGTTAGTCAGTTCCCCCCCCAGTGTCAGAATGCCCGCCACAGTCTCACAGTCCTGCTATAAGTTGCTGATCGGCGCAGTTACTGGTATTAACACAATTTTTAAAAATTCCACTATATATACACCCCCTTTTGTAGATGCTATAACTTTCATGTAAACACACTAATGTTTCATGTACTGGGAGGTTTTTTTTAGCAAAGACATGTAGCAGAATACATTTTGGCCTAAATTTATGATGAAATTAGATTTTTTTTAATTTTTCTACTGGACATGTTTTATAGCAAAAAGTCATAAATACTGTTTTTTTTTTTTTTTCAAAATTGTTTTTTTATTTATAGCACAAAAAATAAAATCAGCAGAGGCAATCAAATACCACCAAAAGAAAGCTCTATGTGTGGGAAAAAAGGACATAAATTTAATTTGGGTGCAGCATTACATGACCGCGCAATTGTCAGTTAAAGTAAGGCAGCGCCCTATCGAAAAAAATGGCCTGGTCAGGAAGGGGGGTAAATCATGGTAATAAATGAAGTCATCATTTAAAAACTGCATTGTATTTACTCAGATTATCTGTGTATTATTAACATTTGTTTGATAATTTGAATCATTTAAGTGTGATAAATATGCAAAAAAAAAATCAGGAAGGGGGCAAATACTTTTTCACAGCTCTGTATATGATCAGTACTAACAAACATTTTACTCTTGTAAACTAATTAGTTCTCACTGACAAGATTTATGTTAAGAACAGGATTTTTGACTTACTAGTAAAATCCATTTCTTGGACTACAGTTATAAATTAACCCTGCTATATAAGTAAAACTGCTTTGGCCGTCCCAAAGACATAAACCAGCATGGAGCCATTGTAGTGAGGGTTCAGCCCCATTGTAAGGGAGGAATTTTAATTTTCCTGGTGTTGGGTTTTTTTTAATACAGTGTCTTGTAGTGTACTATTAAAGTGTTACTAAACCCAGGACCCTGCATTCACTATACCTGGTCTCCCACAGTACACACAACATGGAAATGCAATTATTTTAGTAAATATAAACTGCTAAATACCTTTTCTCATCAGCAGTTAGAGCAGTCTTATGACTTTATTTGTTCAGCAGAGCACTGGTTAAAGCTTGTAGGAGGAATTTTCTTTCTGTTCTAGGAGGATGCAGAACCCCTGACCTCTGTCTGGACAGTGCTGATTGGCCCTGTGCTGATCACATGCATTCTCCCAAGAAAAAAAAAAACCTCTCTAGCAATAGAAACAAAATATATTAAAACCTCCTGCGCTTCAGATGAATGAAACACTAAGCTGCCAACATCCTCCTTTTAACCAAAATGTACACAAGTAAAAATAAGAAAATTGGTGTAGCGCTAAAACAGATGCCACTATGCATAAACACATGTACATAGATAGAACCTAAACTAATAAATAGGGATATATATACTCTCCGATGTTACACAGATAATCATGCATACAAGGATAAAAAACCCCTTGTATATCCCCCAATAGGAAAAAACGTGACTATATGCTTGTGGTGGTTGTACACAAAACCATGCAAAAAGATGACACACTGCAACAAGTGATAAAGTGAATAGTATACAGTCCACTTCAAACAAAAACTGTGAGCCTTTAGGAGCCGTGAGAGTGCCAATGGTGCCACAATCCTATAATGGTCTGAGTGCCTCCTCACCTCCCCGCACTGACCACAAGGGCCAATACGACTTTGTAACATATAGGGTATTGGGCATTTTATATATTTTTTTTTATATATTTTTTTCAATAAACATTACTGTATCACACTATGGGAGGTCTCTGTTTATGTCTCTGAGCATCATCTGGTGGCATATTACCACCATTATACAGCGGCTGGAGGTGGTCTTTGGATATAACAGCGCTTGAGGTGGAATCTACTGTGGACCTGTAGACCGGTTGACATCTGAGGGATATACCCTATATGTTACAAAGGCGTATTGGCCCTTGTGGTCAGTATATATATATCCCTATTTATTAGTTTAGGTTCTATCTATGTGCATGTGTTTATGCATAGTGGCATCTGTTTTAGCTCTCTAGCAATACACACCAAACTGAGCATGTACAGAGTGACTCCACACTATATGTCTTATCAGGAGAGGGGGGCACTGGAAGAAAAGGAGGATCATAGAAGACAGGATCAAACAGCATTTTTACACAATGCGTAGGATTAACCCCTTAGGTTCCATAGTGACTATAACAAGTATTCCTTACTGCATGTACAGACTGATTTTACTGTTGTCGGTTTAGTGACACTTTAAGAAAATTCTGTGAACTTACCCACATGTCCTTTTCAGTGGATTCTTCAATTTAGAAGATTACAATCCTTTCCAGTGGGTGCCTTTGCTATGCTCTTTTCTGAGGGGTTTTTAACCTCATTACCTTATCTATGCACAAGGCAGACCACAATGAGGTTATAAGCTCTGAAGTTCCCCTAACAGTTTGAGTGCAACTTGACCCTTATCAAGAGATTTTTTTCACTAGCAAGTTTGGAGTTGGAGATCCCCTATGGCATCTGGCAACCTTTCCTTATGTAAGTCAAAACCTTAACCACCCTTCAACTCATTTCTCTATTTACCATATCAATTGGATTAAAAATAATTATTCTATGGTAGTCTCTTCTGCACCTCTCCTCAATATTTGTCCCTCTTTGGGGATTCCTCTTCTAAAGATCCTTTGTAAAGGAAAATAATAAATATTACATATGATATTTCTTACTTCCAGGTGGAGAATGCCATGCAAAAGGTCAACATTCTATACAGGAAAAAAAAAAACTTACTCCCACTGTGAAATGGTCATGATCTGCTGGTGGATGCAAGACCTGCAAATATTATAGAGAGAGAGAGAAAGAGGGAGAGGAAATAGTGTTTTCTTTTTTAATTGCTTAATTTCTTTATACTGCATGGCTTGGACAGAGATGGCTGTGTGTAGTGTATAATGAGTAATTTGGGAATATACAGTAATTTCTGGCATATAAGACTACTTTTTATACCTAAAAATATACCCCAAAAATTGGGGGTCATCTTATACGCGGGGGTATAAAATGTGAACCTTGAGTTTGTTTGGGTCCAGCTGGCTGGATGTGTGGCAATACTGTACATACAGTATACCGTGCTGAGCCAAGCTGGCTCAAAACAAATGTCCCTATGACAGATTAATCTGTCAGCCCGCTGTGTGCGGTATATACAGTATACTGCGCTGATCCAAGCGGTTTCAAAACGTACCGGTACGTCCCTACTGTAATCAGCCCATTGGATGCGTGTATGTACGGTAGCTGCGGCTACATACAGTATACACTGGGCCAATCACGGCGAGCGATGTATTCTACTAATGAATACAAAGCCTGCTCAGATTGGCTGAGTCAGAGAGGTGGGCTGATGATGTCACAACCTCAGCCAATCCGAGCAGGCTTTGTATTCATTAGTAGAATACATCGTTCGCCGTGATTGGCCCAGCGTATACTGTATGTAGCCTCAGCTACTGTATATACACACATCCGGCGGTCTGATTACCGTAGGGACGTACCGGCACATTTTGAAACAGCTTGGCTCAGTATACTGTATATACCGCACATCCAGCGGGCTGTCAGATTAATCTGTCATAGGGACATTTGTTTTGAGCCAGCTTGGCTCAGCACGGTATACTGTATGTACATTACTGCACATCCAGCGGGCTGTATATATACTGTATACTGTATGTAGCCGAAGCTACCATTACCGCACATCCAGCGGGTTGTATATATACTGTATACTGTATGTAGCCGAAGCTACCGTATTACCGCACATCCAGCGGGCTGTATATATACTGTATACTGTATGTAGCCGAAGCTACCGTATTACCGCGCATCCAGCAGTAACCATCTGATTTGGAATTTGATCCATATGATGACTGTCTTACAAATGTATCACAAGATGTCATTCATGAATAATAATGCGTTACCTATGTGGTTTTACATTGCAGGCACAGCTGTTGTAAGTTTTGTCTCTATTCCTAGATTGTAAAGCTCGAAAGAGCAGGGCCCTCGATCCCCTCATGTTTTGCATTGTATTGGTATTGTTCTGTCACATGTTCTGTCTCCCTTTGTAATGTACAGCGCTGAGCGAACTATTGGCGCTTTATAAATACTGTATAATAATAATAATAATAGCTGCCCTATAATGAGACTCACCAAACATAGCAGGCTCAAGCGGCAGAGAATTGGCAGAAAACCCTGTATACTGGTATTGAAGAAGTGTCAGCAGTCTACTATGACCACTTTAACACTAAATCGATAAAGAATAAGACTGTATGTAATCTTGCACAATATGTCAAACGCTTGTCTACAGGACAATTATGTGCACACGTCTACGCTGTACACATAGACATTCCTATATGATGGCTGACTTGGAATAAATACTGTCCACATTTTTCGGTTTAAAATCTTCAAGTGCAGTATGTATTTGGTAGAACTAAGTGCATCTTGTGAAAACCACCCACAATTCAAGACATGTCAGCTTCTATTTAAGTGATGCAAAGCACAAAGTCTAGTGTTTAGAAAGCAGTGTAGGGTTAGAACTCTGTCAAGTTTTTATTAGTTGTCTCTATCATCATTGGGGAGTCTCCCATTACTTCCTTTCATTTTTTGTCCTGTTGTCACTGGAAACGGGAAAGAGATAATTTCTCTCCAACATCACCTAGAGCAGTGGTCTCCAAACTGCGGCCCTGGGGATGGATGTGGCCCTGTGCTTGCTTGTATCTGCCCTTGGGGCATTATTTACCTCAATGTCGGCAACAGTGGGTATAGTTCCTGCCACTGAAACTAACAATGGGGCACTATTCCTCCCACTGACACCAACAATGGGGCACTATTCATCTCACTAATAACAATGATGGGGCACTATTCCTCCCACTGACACCAACAATGGGGCACTATTCCTTCCACTTACACCAACAATGGGGCACTATTCCTCTCACTAATACCAATGATGGGGAACTATTCCTCCAACTGACACCAACAATGGGGCACTATTCCTCTCCCTAATACCAATGATGGGGAACTATTCCTCCAACTTGACACCAACAATGGGGCAATATTCCTCTCACTAATACCAATGATGGGGCACTATTCCTCCCTCTGATACCAATGATGGGGCACTATTCCTGCCTCTGACACCAACAATGGGGCACTATTCCTCCCACTGACACCAATGATGGAGCATTGTTCCTACCACTAATAACAATGCTGGAACACTATTCCTTCCACTAATACCAATGATGGGTCTATATTCCTCCCACTGCCACCAGAGATGGGGTACTCTTCCTGCCACAGGCACCAATGACTGGGCATTATTCCTCCCCCTAATTCCAAAGATAGGGCATTGTTTACTGCCACTGACACCAGGACATATTCTACTCCTGGTAGTCACAGTCTTGCTCCCCATAAAGTTTCAAGGACAGTAAACTGGCCCTTTGTATAGAACGTTTGAAGACCCCTAACCCAGACCAAGACTGTTGTCCACCAAAAAACTGAAAAAAAACCCAGTAAAAATGCCACATGATTGAGAGTATATGTCTTGCAGTACTATATGAGATTTTGTATTTTTTTTGCTGCATTCTAAGTGCTTCTGTTTTTTTAAACAATCCTTTTAAATCTTCTTTCCCGCAGGATTCAATGGAAAGAAAAAACTAAAATAGCATGAACATGCCTGGATCTTCGGTAAACCTACCACAGGAAATAAAAATTAATGTTTTAAGGGTTTAATATTGAGACTGAGTTCTTGATATTCACATAAGTGTGTGTGTGTAGATTCAAGGTATTAAGTAAACATAACATTCTGTAATTTAGCCAGCGCTGGTAAGACAAATATAATCCCCAGGGGTAGTCAGGCCTGCTGCTTACTCTATCTAAACCCTTTTAGTCAATTATGGAGCTTGCTAAGATGATAGTTTTGTTATAAAGGAGACAGTGTGAGGATAGCTGAACCGCGAAACGTGATTAACTTAAGTAAGATGCTTATGGATTTCAGTAGGCAATGATTTTCATTCTTAGCAAAGACCATGTCTGATTGAAACTGAAGAGAGATTCTAGGTAAACTTATAAGAATCCATTAATACCTCCAGTCCAGAAGCAGACACTCCCGTTGACTTTTTTAGCCAATTGTTCTGTAAAAAAAGCATTAGGAGCATGATCCTTAACCTCAAAAGGTTCAGATCCATATTATTCATTTAAAGATTGGTTACTATGTATTTTAAGGTACTATAGTGGTGTCATGAAAATACATTACCATATCCTTCACACACTGTATACTGTAGATTGTGATCAGAATCCGACAGTTATTTCAAAGTGTCTGAGATGTGCCAGAGCACTAGTTTCACTGGTTCAATTTACAGCAAGCAAATGACAGATGTTAGGTCTTCGGTTGTTTTTTTTATAGGTTTCCCATGCCCCAAAAACATTCTGCCAGATTAATAAACTTCCATCCGAAATTGGCCCTAGAGTTTATATGCTTATATGATTGTAGTAGAGATGTATTCTGTCAGGGCCCAACATGGAAATAGCCTACCATCTCCTCAATATTGACATAAATAAATCATGGAGGATGAACAACCCAAATCAAGGAAGGAGGATTTTGGTGGTGGGTGGTCTCTCAGATAATACTGCACCAGCCTTAAAAAATATTTACTTTTACTGCAAAATGTTTAATATTTAAAAACATAAGGGGTCCATCAATCTCTTAATAAAAGGAAAATACCGTATCAGTTGGATCATAATACAGAACATCATCCCCATAGAAAATAAAGATAAATATTAGCATTAAAGGTCAAAACTTGAAGTGTGATGTCAAATACATGGCTGTCAAAATTTAAACCAACGAGTTGTCTATGGTAGTCCATAACATGAGTTCCCAAACAAAATGCAACTAATGAGCTAATGCAGCTCATAAATTGTGGTGTACCATGCATTCCATACTAGTAGCACTATGTACAGTGAAGGAAATAAGTATTTGATCCCCTGCTGATTTTGAATGTTTGCCCACTCACAAAGAAATGATCCATCTAAAAATTGAATGGTAGGTGTATTGTAACACTGAGAGACAGAATAGCAACAAAAAATTCAAAAGAAATGCATCAGCAGGGGATCAAATACTTATTTCCTTCACTGTATATGGTATACAAGCAATGCTCATGATGTCTTGCTGTGAGATAACAATGTACCAGTGAATGACTAGAAGCAACACTATCACAGACCTGTTTATTGTTGCATACTTTTACAATTTTGAT